CCTAGGCACCCCCATCTCACTCCCATAGATTCCTGTCTTTATGACTTGATATTGTGATACATTTTCTTCTGGCTTCTCTTTAGTCAGTTCTTAGATGACAGTCTGTTTACATTCACGTTTAGGTCTGGAATCCTAATTTTAAATCTCAACATTAAAGAAAAAATCTGATTCCTGTGCCCCTAGCTTGTCCTCAGTTTAAGATTGCATTTTCCCTCTTTTGTCGCCCATCTGCTGGCTTTGCAGTGGTTTTCTCTTCAGTTTCCCTGTGTCCTGTGCCTACCTCACTCCCACAGTCTTCCCCTCCGGCGTAGATCACAGAGGAAATATTTAGTTAGTCTCTGCCAAACATTCTGGCTGTGTTGTTTTGCTTAAGAAGACATGCAGATAAACTGTTTTGATTCTTGGTCTTGGTGCTCCAGAGCAGATGTTTCTCCTATAACAGAGGTATTGTGGTCAGTTGGAAAGAGTGCTGGACTAGAGTTCAGAGAATTGGATTCTAATCCCTGCCGTGCTACTAATTTGCAGTGTGATCTTGTGCAAGTCACATTTCTATGTCTCAATTTCATTTTGTCAAAAGGGGCCTTATGATAAAGAAGACAGGAATCTATGGAGTTAGGAACCCAGAGAGTAAGCCTGGGGGATCAAGGAGAGTAGATGGGCTAGAGGCAGAGAACCGTGACCATGACTATCATTAGTGGAGCCAGAAGGAAACTCACATCCAAATATAGATAAAATGAATATGTCTAGTCACTTTGAAAAAGTATAAACTGTGATAACAAAGTGGTGGAAATTCTCTGACAAGGATGACTTCAAGAGATAACTGCCTTGTCCACCACTGGGGCTGCTCTAGGTCCACACCTGTTTGCTGTCACCCTTGATGTGTGGGAGGCTTGGCCTTTTGTGGGTTCAGTTCCAGAATTCTGCCTCCCACCTTCCACCTCCTTCATAAACCCAGAAATATTTGAAACTCAGCCCAGATCTTCACCTGGCTTTGATTTCCTCATCATGTGGAGAATGGTCCTTGGAAGTAGTAGTTTCCAGAAACCTTAAATGTTTGCTAACATGTCCAACTTCTGCATTTGTTGATCACTCCTTCTGTGCATGGCTGCGTTCCAGTTCTTGTGCCCTGAAGGTGGTATGGTTTGGTTCCAGCAAGGAAGGGGGTGATATTTGGGGGGATCCTATCACCAGGAACTAGGAACTAAAAGTAGACAAAAGAACTGAGAGATGCCCTGTTGGTGTTCATGGGAGGCAAGTCTTTGAAGAAGAACAAAGTAGTTTAACGTCTGCCTATGTAAACCATAGCTCTCACACACATACTCAGATAGGCAGAGGTACATTTCTTCCTGATCTCTCCCTGTCCCCTTCTGAAATGATTCTGGGATTTAATCAGGTCTTGCCTAGTTTATACTTTTTCTTTCCAGTTAAAGATTTGTGTTGGTTTCCTCCAGTGCAGATTTGGAAGACATCTCCACAGTCTTTTGCTGCCCTGTGATCCTGTGTCAGGCATAATCAGCAGAAACTTTGGTAAATGAGTTCAGAGGGATATTTGTCCCTGCAGGGTTAGTGATAAGGACCTGCACTCACTCTTGCTACACCCAACCTCAGGAGGCTCTCAGGCTGCTGCACCTTGCTAGGGAAAGTCATGGAACTGAGTAGAGTAGTTCTGGGGAGAAGAGTTACATAATTGACTCTGTATGTGTTCAACTGGGCCTTCTTTGCTATTCTGCAATCCTTTAATTTATCTTAAGTCCCTGTGACATACACCACAGTGCTCCTTTCTCTCTCTTTCTTCCTTTCTTCCTTCCTCCTTCCCTCCCTTCCTTTCTTCCTTCCTCTCTCTCTTTCTTTCTCTCTCTTTTTTTTTTTTTTTTTTAACATCTTTATTGGGGTATAATTGCTTGTTTTTGTTTTTTTAACGTACTCCATATGCTCTGACTCCATCCTGACCCTACATCACCAGTGAGGATGCCTTCTACTTTACTGGGACTGTTAGAGCTAGATGACGTGGAGCTCTGGGATAGTTCCTTTCCTTTAGATAGCTAGGTACTCCAACTTATCCAGCTCTAAGAGAACAGGCATAAACATTTCCTATAGGCTCTATAGATGTGTTTGTTGTGAATGCCAGCATCGTCTGGGCGAAATAATGGTTTGATTTGGGGCTTGATAAGAGTTGTGAGCCCATGTCTGGCTATTTGGTACTTTCCCCTGTCTCACTTGTTCTTAAACCAACTTGTCCTAGGAAGATGGCCCAACTGATAGCTGTCACGTAATGCCCGATGTGTCCTCCCTGCCACTCCAGCCCAGGATACTCACAAACCCTCTGCCTTCTGTGTTTCTCAGGAGTCATAGCTCATAGTTCCCCTTCAGGTAGGTGTTTTTCAAATCCTACTCACATCTTCTTTAACCTTCTTCCTCCACTCTCTTTCTCTTCTACCTATTTTGCGTAGTTACCTCAAGAAATACTCTCCTTGTCCCCTTCCCTCTTTGATTGTGGAGTGAAAGCTAGCCCCAGTCATAGCTGATAAGCATGATACCAAGAATACTTTGGAAAGGAAAGTCACACATTTGGGAGTGAAATGAGATGATGTGAAGAATGAGTGCTGTCAGTCTTGTCCTTGTGAATACCTTTTGGAATCCTTAAAAATACCTATCTTTCAATTAATCTGTCCTTCTTCCAGGACCACAATTTTGGGATATGTAAAAATTATTTAATTTTATTTCTCTTATGTTTTGTTTTATTGCAAGTATTTATTTACACAGGTAATTTTTCTTGTATCTTTATATAAACAGTATTTTAGCCATGTTCAGTAATGAGCCTATTTGGGCATGCAGCTACCATATCTAATATTGTTTCTTTGGGAAAATTTCTTCAACTTGTAAAGATGACTGACTGACAAAGGAGTGTTCAGTGCAAAACCAGTCTTCATCCTCTGGCCCCTAAGGGTGATATTGCTGTGGAAGGGGCCAACTCCATTCCTGTCATATGGAGAGGAAGAAAAGTGCTTCCAAAGGAGGCCTGGTGCTCCATCAGGAAAGCTGGGTCCTTCCTTTGGTCTGAGTCTCTGCGTGGCAGCTGGAGGTACTAGAGTGTGCCATGCCTGACTAAGCTCTTCTCTCTCCCTCTCCCTCTTTATTTTTATTTATTTATTTTTTTGCTGTGTGTAACTTCAGGAAATACTTTAGCTTAAAGCCTGAAGACGTCCCCCTACTTTGAATATCATGATCCAATTATGACAGGACCACATTCTTGAAACAAGTTGTTTAGTGGAGTTAATTGAATTATCTGCTCCTATTCTTGAGTAGGAAATAATACATTCTTGTTGTGTTGCTGTGTCAGGTCTTAAATGGAAAGCTTCTAGTTTGAAGCTGTGTCTATTTCCAGTGGGATAAATCTGCTGCCAATTTATGAAAACTGATGATGTCCCTGTGCTCTGTGTGTAAACTGTAGCATCTCTTTGTGGAATGAAGAATTCAGGAAAATGGAACAATTTTTTGAGTAAAATTCCAAGCTCTACTAGGTTCCAAGTGACTGAGAATTTCCTGTTAGAGTGGGAAAGTTTATCCATATGTTTTTGCCTGGGGATAGTATATGTCATGTAGTTCTAAAGAAGTAGGTCCGTAACTGATTACCTCTTCCTTTGTCTTTCTTTCTGTGGTGCCCAGAGATGGTTTGAGCTCATCTTTGGTCTCGTCTCTGCAAAAAGCAGCATGCATTTTGATCAAGGGACGGGAGTAAAACCTATGGCCACAGGGCAGGGTGAAACTAATGATTTGTATAAGGAGCAAACCTTTCACCTTTGTCTCACTGGTACCAGGCTGTAAGTAACTGAACTAACTAGCTCCAGACACTTATTTTGCAATCTTGAGGTGAGGATGGGCAAAATCCCAGAGGCTGGGAGGCAGACATGTGGCTACCAGAGAGATGACGTCAGCTGGTTTACTGGTGCTGTGGAGGAAGGGGGGATTCCAGGTGCTCAGCCTCCTTCCTGCACTTGGGGGTGTCTAAACCCACCCCCAATCCTATTGGGAGACAAGGCCTTTGCTTGGGAAAAGCCTTCGTCTAATTCTTGCCTCCTGCTGTCCCCACAGGGACCTGAAGTTGGAAAGGGTCTTGTAACCTTGGCTGTGGGAACAAGGCTTTGAGGAGTGAACAGACGTGTGTGTCTCTGTGTGTCTGTGTGTATTTTGTTTTAATGCTGACAACTGATGAGGGTTTCCAAACTGGGGTTAGATATGAGAGGAGAAGGAGAAACGTTGTCTGGGTTTTTGGGAATCTGTATTAGGAATTGCCCTTTTCTTGGAAGGGAAAGCAGTTTATGATTTAACTCATTTTTCAATTAAAATTATTTGATTATTTTTGTTTGGTATGTTTAATGTGGCTGCTTAGTATACAACAGGAGGTGTTCCGAATCACCTCCTTTCTACGTTCTGCCCCTTCCCCTATGCTTATCCTAGAACAGAGCCTCACAAAGCCATAATATGTGACAAATTGGAGAAAGCACGTCTGCAAGGAAGATCTTCCTCTTTGCTCAGCCTTGCCTCTGTATGGGTTTCTGGGAACTGTGGTGGGGCTCCTTGGGAAGCCTACAACTCACAGTAGGAATGGAAGAAGCTTTGTGTCCTCTGGAGCATGACAAAGAGAACAGAGCTGGGAGGCACTGGAGCCTATGAAGCCCATCTGCTGAGTAGCTTTGTGTTCCTGTCAGATGTTGGGTACCTGCTCTCGTTCCATCCTCCTCCCCCAAGATGTGGAAAAAAATGAAGCCCCTGCATGGAAAGCAGGTGGTAAAGCCACCAGCAAAAGCTTATACTAGGTGGTTCAGACATCCCCATCCCAGGCCTGCCTTGGGTTCCTTTGGGGCCATCAATAGCTTCGGGTTTCTGTAAGACTCTTGCTCACGTTCAGCATAGCCACTGCTTACTGGAAGCCATCTGGGGCCAGCCCAGGCTTGTTCTGTCCAGGCGTATTCCCACCACGGTACTTTTCTCGTCTTTAGGGCTTTCAGATATGAGGACCTTCAAGGTCTCTGAGCTGCTTAAGTCTTTCTTCTGAGAGCCTAGTTCCTCCCCTTCTGGGCCCAGGAAGCTGTGGTAAGCTCTTGGTTTTCTTCTCTGCTGGGCACTTTTGGGAAGCCGTCTGCATTCCTTTCTGCCTAACTCTCTGCCTCTGGGGCTCTGTGGGGTGCGGTTGCTTCGTGCCTCTGTGATGCAGAATGCGAGGGCAGTTCCATGGAGATCAGCCCCTGGAGATAACCAGGAGTTTGAATGTGGAGTTGCCCTTTCTTGCAGTCCTGGGACCAGGAGCTAGCTTTTCATGGGGTGCCGTGTGGTATTGATTCTCCTTAAAACTTTCTCTGACTTGCTTCCCTGTCTCCTTGCCACTCTGGAAGGAAGGGTCCGAGGAGGAAGATTAGTGCTCGGTTTCCTGTGATCTTTGGCTCTGGAGATGGGTGCAGCAGATGCCTTTTGTGAGGAAGGAGCTTAGAGGCGACAGGTAAGAGCATGTGTCTTCTGGGTGTCTTTCCAGTCTGGTTACGTTGACGCTCTGGGTGGTGACAGCACATGTTAGCATCCCTTGGCAGGGATGGCCAGTCAGAGTCCCCACCTCCAGTTTGTTGGCTCCCTAAGGATGAGAAGCATTTTTGCAGTCCTCAGTGGCATGGCCTGTAGAGGTGTCTATGTGCTGACAGGTTACAGAGCCTTCCCATGGATGTCCTGCCTCTTTGGCGCTTGAGAACAGATGGGGCTTAATTTGAAGCAGACCTCCCTCAAGGGCCCAAATCTGAAATGTATATTACAAAATCCCTGCTAGTTTTTGGCTCTTCCTCCTTCTGCATTTCTCTCTTGCCTTTACCTTCCCGTCACTGTCAGGGGTTGTAAGCAGCTGCTGCTATCATGCGGACTGATCAAGACTGATCAGGATTAAGAATGGAGCTAAATATAACTGCCAAAATATAACTAAATATTACAGAGCATACTGCTCTGATGTGCTGAGACTCATCCTTAGGGAAGAAGTTGATTTGAACCTGTGATAGAGGGTTCAAACAGAATAGGTGAAAGTTGGGAGGAAATGGTGGGAAGGTACTTCAGGAGTTGGGGGAGTATTGATTCCACCCCTTCCCTTCCCCACTCCCCGCACCCCCAACGTTTCCTGCGAAAGGTCAAGGGCAAAAGATCTTGCTTTTCAGCCATCAAACAGTCAATAATACTAGCTGAATTTTTCAGCTTAACCAACATTGTGATTCAAATATTATATAAAGCTTTTTTAATCACCGAGGGAATTTATCATCTATTGGGAGAGACAAAATTTGTTAAACAAATAGAGAATATAGAGATCTTAACTGTGTTTGGTTACTAACTGTGAATGTGTTTATAGTTCAGAAATAAGAAGGTTCTTAAAACTATAGGAAAACTTTCTTGGCGGAGGCAGGATCTTTTCTGATCTTTGAAGTTTGGATCGACTTTATATAATCAAAGGAGAGGTGTTCTGGTTGTGGAGAACAGCAGGGACATAGAAAGGGTGTGGCTTTCCAGGGTCCCTGCAACGACGATCTGCCTTGGTGCTCAGGGGATGAGAAGGGATGCAGTGAAAGTGGAATTTCGTGGGAAGCAGTCTTGTGGAAGAGAGTAGGCTAATTTTGGAGAGGACAGAGATTGGCAGTAAGGAGACCCACCAAAGAGTATGGGTCGTCCACAACCGGAATAGAGAGGAAGGGGGTGAATCCTAGAGAATATTCAAAATTAGAATAAGTAGGACCTGGACATGGGATATTAAGGGTAAAATTGAGGGGAAAGACGTAGGATGCCAACATTTCTGCCCTGTGAGAGTTGACCATTACGATATCTTATGTTTATGAAGTGCTTTTCAAAGCACTTTTTCATTCAGTACGTATCTCAGAGTTGTCTGGGCTCTTAGAGTTCATCTAATCTGGCTTCATTGTCCAGATGGGGAGATTAGAGCCAAGAAAGGAGAGGGTACTATTCCCAACTCGCACAACTATTTAGTGGTATAATGGGACCTCCAATCTTGGCCTTCTATCTCCTAGGGGAAATTTAAGACGAGAAGCATGGAGGAAGGAGTCTGGGGTCAGAGAAAAGTCCTGTCTAGTTAGGTGACATTAGGTGATTACCAGTCTCTCTGAGCAAAATGAAGCTTATTCAAGAAGCTTCAGACTAAATCAGTGGTTCTGCTACTAGGAACTCTTTTTGAGAACCACTATATAAGGAGGACGGACTCCTTGGGTCCTTCTAGTTCTGAGATTCTTAAGAGTGCATGAAAATAATGTATATGAAAAGTATTGAATTGGGTTTCCTCAGAGGCTGTGGCTGGTTTCCAGGGTGGTGCCTTTTGAAGGGAATTTCAAGAGTAATTTGTTTCCACATGATTTTCATGTTATATGCTGACCCCAGAACCTAACTACCGAAGAGGACACACTCTGCTGTTAGTAGGCTGTGGCCGATATTTGAACTCAGTATTTGCAGAGTTATGGCTGTTTGTGTTATCCATGTCCTCTCCCCACCTCCTCTTAAAATACACACACACACACACACACACACACACACACACACACACACACGCATACGCATGCATGCACTTCTCTCCATTCCCCTTTTCCTCTTTCCTTCCTTTCCTTTTTTATTTTTTCTCCTTAACTGTTTTTCTAGTCTAATTCCCCTTCCTCCATCTCTGTTCTCTCCACTCTTGTCTGTCTTGTCTAGATAACTTCCTGTGTTGGAGCAACTTCCTCTCTTGGTTAAACTCAGACATGACTACAGCATAGCACCTTGGAATATTCTGTTTTGTCTCTATTCCCTGCTGCGGTGGCTGGTGCTCAGCGATCAAGCCGGACCCTGGGAGTCATTCTGGACCCTCCTTCACCTCCACAGTCAATTACCCTTCAAGTTCTTGCTTTCTATTCAAAGAGCTCTTGATCTCCCTCCTTGTGTTCATTCTCACCGCCCCATACAGCAGGAGACAGAGCAGAGAGAGATCACGGTTGAAGAAAGAAAAATAGAGTTGGGGTCACCCTCACTGTCCTCAAAATCATTTTGCAAACCTCCACAGCCCAATTTAGTCTCCTCTTCGCCTCTCACAGCTCTCACAGCTGTCTCTGGGTCTCTGACCCTTCGTGATTGGCTGGTGGCTATGTTTCTGCGGGCTGTGTTTGGAGAAATCCTGAGTCTGAAGAGGAACACTAATTTAATAAGCAGTGGTTACTCTCTTGGAAACACATAGACACAGTCATGCCTCATTTTCTTGGTGGATTTTTCCTGAGTAAACTTCCCCTCCTCAGCTCCTGTGGGCCTTTTCCTTGGAAGAGGAGTGTCCCTGCATCACTGACTGCAGATGTTATCTGCGTCGATGATGAGTGGCTGCAGTCTTTCATCACCTTGAGGTCTCTTAACGTGGTTGACTTCCTTTGCTTGCTTGGGTATGAGGAGAGCCAGTGTCTTCCAGTTATAGCTTCTGGAGTCCCACAGCTTGTGAGAAAGAAGTCTTCTGCTGGCAACTGCTGTGCTGGGGACAGTAGTCCTTGACCTTTTGTGTGTTTTTTTTGTTTGTTTGTTTTACTCTGCCCTCTTCCTAATAATGCTGTCATTAGCAGCGTCAGCTAACCCGTTACATGGGCTATAGACAATCATGTTCACCCAGGTAAGGAATATAGGCTTTCTGAATTTTTTTCTTTCCTTCAAAGGCTAAGTGCTACTCAGATATGTTCTTTGACATCCCAGGGAGTAATGCTCAGGAATTCCCCCAGATATGCTATTCTCAGACTTCCAAACAAGCTTCCTCCTGTTTCTGTCCTTCAGGATCTTGAATTGCACTCTTCTCTCCCTCCACATTCCTCTGTTTTTCCTCTCATCATCTCACCTGTTCTCTGAGTTGATCTCTAAGTAAATGAATGTTTATAAGCACCTCTTTTTATACAAAAGGCAGACTAGCTCTATTTTACATAAAAATGGGATACACCTAGTGTATGTATTGTTAAGGAAGGAGCTAATCATTGCATAAATTAGAAACTTCTAGGTTCCTATCCTTGGGGGAAAAGAGAGAAGGGTTTAAAAAATGGCATCTTCTACCATAGGACATTGAAGTTTATTTAGTAGGACACTCATCTGTAGACCAGGGCCACCATCCATGTCCCTAGGATAAGCACCGAATTTTGAGGGGCCACTGCTCTTCTCTCCTCCTGATTCTTCTTAAGTCCTTAGAAGCACTGTAGTTTCTCATTACGGGAGATACGCTGGTATGTATACGTCCCAGCAATGCCTGATGGAGCTGAACTGCTGCATTCCTACTGTCTAATGTTTCAGTTACAACAGTCAAAGCCGAGTCCTTGCTCACAAGAGCTATCAGATGACAGCTTAGTATAGAAGGTTAAAGATCCACAAGAATTCACTCTGATGGTTAAAAACATCACTTTGTAATTCTGATCATGATGAACCATGGTTTGGGGAGATGACGGGTAAGAATTGTTTGCATTCCTGAGCTTCTCAGCATCCTCACTAGAACTTGGATGGTCAGAGCCCCAAATGAGAGGCTCTCATGTAAGTAGTGGAAGGCACAAAGGGCAGATCAGGCAGGGCTCAGCTGTCTCTTCTTTCTGTGAGCTTTCTTTATCGCATCTAGCCACTAGTTCCCAGAGATGACTCCATGGGGAGTAAGTCATGGGGTAGTTTTTTATCTTCCTGTTCTGTAGGGGGTCTTAAGAGCTTCATGAACCAGAGATGTTATCTTATTTCTCAATTTAAGGGACTCCACAGACTTGATTTTCTTTTTCTCTTCAGCATACTTGCCTGGGATATTATTAGGGCTTCTGTTACCCTTGGGTCTGCAAATATAGTGTGTGTCCCCTGGATACACTATTGTTCTAACCAGAATGGAGCAAAGTAAGACATGGACCTCATTTGATCTGGACTCTGTATGTCGGTCAGTAAACTCAAAATCACGGGGACTCATCATTGACTCATATTGAACCATTCCTCAAGTATCTTTCACTTATACCATTCTTTTTTTTTTATTCAAACAGAAAGTCACAAAAATTTACTTCTACCATTTTCGTCCTGTTGTCATGCAGTTTTTTTTAATAAACTTAAGTGTAAAATGATATCTTTTGTCCTTTTAAAATTTAATCTTGTTATACTTAACCTATGGTTCTAAGTTTTTGGAGGCCCTTTTTTTGGAATTATCTCTAATATGTTAATTTTCCCTCCCAATTAATTTGTTATGTGCATTTTTGATAAGCGTGCCTTACCCGAGTCATTGATAAAAAAGGGTGACCAGGCTAGGATTAGAACAGATGGGAATGTCCAGACTTCTAGGAGTTCCAGAGTACTCCTTCGTAGTTGATACTGATCCATTTTGCGCTTCCATTTGGACCCAGCTGTCCTGAGTTACCAGATGGTGCTACTGCCAGTGCCTTCCTGTTTTATCCATAAGATCAAGAGAGATTTTTCTGAAGTGCAGATAAATTGTGTCCTGGAATTCTTTGA